GCTTGTGTTCCCTTTCTTGCTGTGTCTCTCTCTGTCAAATAAATAAATAAAATCTTAAAAAAAAAAAAAAAAAGAGGGCACGTATTGAATGGAGCACTGGGTGTTATATGCAAACAATGAATTGTGCAACACGACATCAGAAACTAATGATGTATGGTGATAACATAACATAATAAAATTTAAAAAAAAAGAAATATAGAAAAATCTTATGCTAACAACAACAACAAAAATACATCAGAAGGCGCCTGGGTGGCTCAGTTGCTTAAGCATCTGCCTTTGGCTCAAGTCATGATCCCAGGGTCTTGGGATCAAGTCTCACATCAGGCTCCATGCTCTGCAGGGAGTTGCTTCTCCCTCTACCCCTCCTCCCACTCGTTCTCTTAGTCTCTCTCTCAATCTCTTTCTCTCTCAAATAAATAAATAAAACCTTTAAAAAATTTAAAATATACATCACAATTTTGCAGCACAAATTTTTTTTCTTACGAAGGAATTAGGTATAACAGCATGCCTGTCAAGAGTTGGCCAGGAGTTATTTCATACAAAAATAAAAAAGAATTCATAACACAGCCTCTGCTATCAGAGTGGTGAGAGATCTGTTGCTTGGAGATGAGGTGCTTGATTTGAGGTGCCTGGGGAGTCATTCTGCCCTTACCACGGACCACTGTGTACAGCATGTCTCCAGCAGTGCAGTCACTCCCGGCGGCACTTGTTCTTTTGTAATCAGTTCTTGAGGACTCCTTTTTTCTACTAGAATTAATGATCTGCTGCATCAGTATAGGACCAGAAGGACCTTAAAGAAGGCCCGAAATGGGCACCTTCCTGAGGAGGAGACCTTGTTTCCATACTGTCCCAGGATAATGCTGCCGTCTTATTTTATTTAGGCTTCATTATTGCTGGGAGCACTGTTAACTATTAGGGAAGTGTTAGTTCATACTCAGATTTTAACACTGTAAAGTGTAAGTTTTCCTTGGTTGCCCATGCTAATAAGGGAAGACAGGGAGTCATCCTGCTCTTTCCCTGTGACCACTGCATTTAATCCTTTTTCGTGAACTCGTGACCAGAAAAACTGTAGTTACTAATTTAAAAAGCATATGTAACACATCAATTCTGTTACAGAACATTTTGATTTAATATACTATTTCTTAGGGAGAGTGAAGGACAAAAAAATGTCTCCGCTGTTCCTGGGAAAACAGGAAAAAGAAGAGGAAGACCCCCAAAACGGAAGAAAGTACAGGAGGAGATTATAGTGAGGTAAGACATTCGTGTTGGTCTGTGCCAGTCATAAACCCGCATGCTTAGAAGGGACCTTAATTTAATTTCACTTGTACTTTCATCCCTGCTTGTGCCATGGGAAGGATATGGGACTTAGATTATAGAGACTTGGGTCTCAATCCTCATGAAATTACCAAATGTGCTAGGGAAGTCCTATCTGCATGACCTACCCTCTCTAAGCCTATTCTTTTATTAGACAATAAGCATACCAATAATAATAAGGATTAGGTTGAACAGGATAATGAATGTGATAATGTAACAGACTGAAAACTGTTATGACCCACACAAAGTGCTCAATATGTTTATACCACACATTTTCTTCAAAGGAGTGTAGAGCAAGTTAATCCTGATTAACCCTAATAATCAGCATTTTAATAGGATTATATATCACATATAATTTTAGGAATTAATTCTTCCCTATAAGCAGATTTTAGTAGCAGATATGCTTTATTGTATTTAGAATTTAGAATACAATTTCCTACAATAAAGAACAGGTAAGATCTTAAACAGTTTTATACTCTATTTTATATTTAACTTTAGCAAGGAAAAAGATTCTATTATATTTGGGAAATTTTATTTTATACATAATGCATGATCTTTTAGGAAATTCTACCACGTGAATCTTAATACAAGAATTTTGAAAATCTAGCATATACTGTGTAAATACACTTCCTGGAAGTTAGGTCATATTCTTAATATTTCTAGTAACAGAGAACAAACCACTTCTTCCCTCTAAATTGTAGAACTACTAAATCTAAATGCTTGAGGTAGGCCAGATTTCTTCTTGTTGCTTATTAACTACTAAGAAGTATTAGTTTCTAGGAATCAGATTATAAATAAATCAGTCAGGATTTTATTTTTTTTTTAACCTAAGAATCAGTGTTTCACTTAACTTTCCAGAAATTTGACTACAGAGTATAGCTTTCCTACTATCCATTTTGTGAGAAATGTCCTGTAATCATGTTCTGTACACATGACATCTGTTGCAGGATTTTGTTAGCAATCTACATTTTTCTTATAGATTCACAAAGCTGTTTTAGGTTTACCTGTCTCCATTTCCCTGTTAAGTACTAACAATTAAGGTGCGTCAGCATTGGGAATATAGAATCATTTTAAGCATATGTGGACTTGTACTACCCTCTACTGGTGATTTTATCCTGTAGAGCTCTGTATCCAGTACAGTATTTATATATTTTTTAATTAAATAAAACTTAAAATTCAGTTCCTCAGTCATACCAACCTTACTTCAAGTACTTAGTAGCGACAAGTGGCTCGTGGCTGCCATGTTGTACGGCGACAGTACAGGACATTTTCATTCTCACAGAACGTTCTACGGAACAGTACTGCTATAGATAATTGAGAACAGACAGAAGTCCGCAGAGAATGACCTACATGATTCAGAGATACAGACAGCAGTGATACTTAACACTGTTGTACTGAACACTTTCGTAATTTATAATTTAATCTTCAGCATCCCTGTGAGGTAGGCATTATTTATAGCACATTTTACAGGAAATTTCATTAACTTTCCAAGGTCACATGGTAAGAGGCAAGCCAAGGCTGACATTAGAGCCTGTGTTCTTAACCACTGCCTTACAGGAGGTTAAATTAAATATGCCTTAGCTTCAGTATAGCCCTGATCAGGGAGGAGGACATCCCTATATAGAATCCCTATAGTTGGGGGGGGGGGGCGGTATTTAACTGTTAACACTTAACTCCTCTGTTTGATTTCTAAAAAGCTGTTTTAAAACCTAGTATTTTCCTGTTATATAGGATGTTACCATTACATTGGGTTCCTATATTATCATTTTTCCCCTTCTGTACCAACACACCTACATTCTGGTCTTCCTTTACTCAGTAGAGTAACTTTGTCCCCTTGAAACAAACACACTCCTTGTATTACATTAATTTGGTCTAACTTTTGGGGGAAGCACAGAACAATTTTGGACATGTCTTTGTTTTAATTGGTGCCTCCTTCTCCTGTCTTTCAGTGAAAAGCAGGAAGAAAACTCCTTGGCATCTGAACCACAGACAAGAAATGGTAATGACTTTTGTTGGAGTTTGGAAAAGATTAAGTAAACATGATTGATTTATATTATGATGGCAACTCACTTTTCAGAGTCCTGCAGAGCAGTTAAGATAAATGCAATATAGGGCGCCTGGGTGGCTCAGTTGTTAAGCGTCTGCCTTTGGCTCAGGTCATGATCTCAGGGTCCTGGGATCGAGTCCCACGTCGGGCTCCCTGCTCCGCAGGAAGCCTGCTTCTCCCTCTGCCTGCCAATCCCCTTGCTTGTGCTCTCACTCTCTCTTTCTCTGACAAATAAATAAATAAAATCTTAAAAAAAAAAAATGAATACAATATAGCCTCGTTAGCCTCAGTGCCCTTCTTCAGTTCTCTCTTTGTCACACTTCATCTGTACCCATTTCTCCATCTCATTGATAACTGGAGATCCTCCCTTGTGCCCTCTAACCATGGCACAGTAGGATGGGCACCAAACACTTGGATGAATGAGCAGCTTCTCAAAGAGCTATCTTCTTAATGTAAAATGCTGTGTAAGGGAGTGTATTGGTTTCCTAACCTAGATTTCAGTTCTTTAATCCAAATTGCATAAAACTGGCAGAGGGGGTACTATCACTTTACAGTATGTCAACATAAATGAGATAAGGAATACTCTGCAGAAGCTCAAATCAAAACCATTTGAATAAAAATAAGTGTATTTAAGCACTTCTAGGATATTAAAGTCTAATTACAAAGGTCACAATAGTTAGATTTGTATTGCTCTTAGGCATTCTTAATTTTTAGGTGTAAATGGTATTAGTAATAGGAAAATCAAAATTATATATTATCAACATTAAAATCCTTTTTTTTTTTTTTTTAAAGAAGAAGATTTATTTATCTGACAGAGACACAGCAAGAGAGGGAACCCAGGTGGGAGGAGTGGGAGGTGGAGAATCAGGCCTCCCACAGAGCGGGAAACCCCATGGCGAGGCTCGATCCCAGGACCCTGGGATCATGACCCCTGAGCCAAAGGCAGACACCCAACGACTGAGCCACCCAGGCACCCCTAAAATTCTTTTTTTTTTTTATTCCATGGTTTTCATCATGACCTAGGGTAGAAATTGAGGATAAATATGAAAAAAGGTCCTAGTGGGATCTATCTAATTAACTCATCCTTTTCGTTATTAGAGTCCCAAGGGCCAGGTCAAGGCACTTGGTGGCTCCTGTGCCAAACAGAAGAAGAATGGAGACAGGTCACTGAGAGTTTTCGGGAGAGGACCTCCCTTCGAGAACGGCAGCTCTATAAGCTCCTCAGTGAGGACTTCCTGCCCGAGATCTGCAACATGATTGCCCAGAAGGTATGCAAATGGATGATTCCTCCCCTCTGCATTATTTAAGGATGATTCATAGAGTTTTTGGGTGTATTTCCATGGTCTCCTGGAAGTGGTACAAGCCTTCACTCTCAACTGGAGTGTTAAAATGAGACCTTATGCCACCCACTCTCCTTCACTGTGGATATTCTCCTTACCCCACGAAGTCCTCCGTGCCCCCCACTCCCTAGTACTTAGGATGGCTTTTCACAGTCTGGAACCAGCTTTCCTTCTCCCATAGCATTCCCCAGGAAATGTTCCCAGAGCCCCCAGGTATGTCTCCTATCAGCCTGTGCATACGTCTCTATATATGCTGCTTTTTGGGGACGGGTAAAAGAATCCTCTCTCCCACTAAGCAGCAAGCTCTGAAGAGTATTTGTCTCTGTACTTGCAGTGCTAGCTCTGCCCAGCTCCACATGTAAGCTGTGTGTGCTGCTTTCTCCAGCTTCAGCACCTGATAGTTTCATAAACCACATGTTCTATATTTTCACCCAGTATACAGCCTCGTGTGTGCCTTCTTCGAGTATCTTTCCCCCTCTACTTCTCTACCCATTTGAATACTACTCTCCATAAGCTGTCCCTTGTTTCTCCCAGTTTTAAGATTTTCTTCCCTAACATGTTTTCTCATTACTTAATTCCATTTTGATTTGTTTAAGCCTTTTTGGATTAGGCACCATGTCTTACTATTTGAAACCCCACAGCACCTAATGTAATGCCTTTTCTATGGTGGATGCTCAATAATAATTCACTTTGCTTATTTCATTTCAATAATTCTAATACTTTTGATGCACATGTTAGTAGAAACAGGCAAATTTGACCACCTGCCAATGAAATCTACGTAGAGAAAGTATAAATTAATTGCTGCAGTACCCCCAGGGAAAAACAAAATAAGAGATATATTAATTTGTTGTGAATCCAATGATATTTATAACTTTTAAATAGGTTGATGCTTTGAAAGGATAATTGTAGAAAGTCCCCATGCTCTAATAGTAGGATCTTATAAATAGTGCTTCAAGAATTATATTTTCATGGATGAGCAAAAAAACCCTGCATTTCCCCATTAACATACTTAATTCCATATACTAAAATTACACAAGTTTTTGTGATCTGCAACCCACCATGCCAGTTTTTCCAGGAATCGAAGCACATAATCTGATTTTCTTCAAGTATTATGTTGAGGTGGTTTTTATAACTTTACATGCATAACATGGTATATGACTTTATCAATACCACTAATATGGCACATTAAATCATCTATAAGGTATATGCCGAATCTGCTTAAACCTTCTTTTATAATTTCTTCCCTTCTTTTTTTTTAAAGATTTATTTATTTTAGAGAGAGAGATTGTGCGCAAGTGGGGAGGGTGGCAGAGGGACTGGGAGAGAGAATCCCAAGCAGGCTTCCCACTGAGTTCGGAGCCCGATGTGTAGGGCTCCATCCCAGGACCCTGAGGTCATGACCTGAGCTGAAATCAGGAGTTGGACACTTAACTGAGCCACCCAGGTGCCTCTGCTTTTTTACTGCGGTATTCAACCTAAGATTTTTTTGAATAGGTAAACTAAGGGGGAAAAAAGTCTTATAAGCAAAAAGCTGATGGTTTTGATGCAAAAAATTCAAGGGTTGATTCTTTTCAAGAGAATAAAAAATTAAAAATAAGGTAACCCTTAAGTATAATTCTGAAGGAACATGAAATTATAAGCTGAACAATAATAATAATAATAATAGATTTGGTATTTGGTTTTTTAAAAGATGTTATTTAAGAGGGTAAGAGAGAGAGCGTGTGCACAGGAGCAGGGGCAGAGGGAGAGGGAGAAGCAGACTCCCCTGCTGAGCTGGGAGCCCAACATGGGGCTCGATTCCAGGACCCTGGAATCATGACCTGAGCTGAAGGCACATGCTTAACCGACTGAGCCACCCAGACGCCCCAGATTTGGTATTTTTAAAGGTGTATATTGCTCTAAATTTGCAAACCTCAATGAAATGGGGTATTGATTACAAAAGTAAGATAATCTAAATTGTGCAGTAGAAATCTTAGCAGACCAGTAAGTAGGGGGGAAGAATTGTCACAAAAGGATGCCATCAAGAGCTCCAGAATCATTTGGATTTATTCATAGGTAAATTTTCTAAACCTTCAAGAAGAGATAACTTTCAAACATTTCCAAAATGAAGAAAGAAATGGGTAGCTCCCCTTGCTCATTCAGATATACATATCTTAGATTCCTCTTCCTCATATAATTAAACATACCCTCTTCATTCAGTAATATAAATGTAATATAATGTAATATATATATATAATATGTAATGTAATATAAATGTAATATAAATTACATAATATGTAATATAATGTAATATAAATGTCAAGTCCTTAATGCTAACAAGTAAAAGCCAAAAGAATAATAATTCATAACCCATCATAGTTAAACCTAAGCTCCTGATACTGATAACATTGTCTTGGAAGTTTTATCCAGTGTAAATATGCAACCAAAAAGAGTAAGAGGCAAAATATTAGAATATTCAGAAGGCAGATGCTCAACCAACTGAGCCACCCAGATGCCCCTCTAAATTTCAATTTTTTATTAGTAAAATGAAAGCTCTAACTTCACAGAAGTTTTTATGGGAATTAAACAAAGGAAACCATGTCAGTGTACCTGGCATAGTACTTAGTTACCAATAGGCACTTGGTCCTTCCCATTGTTTATGGCTGTAGATAATTGGTTAGAAACCTCGATAGAAAATTAAATCCACATTTCTCACCAAAATAAATGCAAGTCCAAAGAGAGTTAAAACAGATAAAATAGGGGCTACTGGGTGGCTCAGTCGTTGGCTCAGGTCATGATCCCAGGGTCCTGGGATCGAGCCCTACATTGGGCTCCCTGCTCAGCGGGAAGCCTGCTTCTCCCTCTCCCACTCCCCCTGCTTGTATTCTCTCTCTCACTGTGTCTCTGTCAGATAAATAAAATCTTTTAAAAAAAACAACAAAAAACAGATAAGATAAATCTTGAGAGGTAATGATAGTCCCCTAAACATTGAAATAATAAAAGAATCAGAAAACCTGCTTTGACCATATAAAAGTTAAGCTTTTATGGTAAGGTTTGAACGAGGATATAAGCTAGTAAAAGTATTTGTTGTTAATGTTACAAGCTGTAATATTTAGACAACTTAATTAGATATTTAACAAACGAATTGACTAAGAGGACAGATAATTCATACAAGAGTATATAGTAAAGTTGTAGGGGAACAAATTCATCTTCTGTATCAAGAATACCACCTTCCACATTAGTAATTTTTGTCTGATTTGGCAAACTTTGGGGTCAAGGGTCAAGTTGGTATTGGCTCTGTTGCTGCTAGTATGGTAAACTGCCACAATATCTTGGGGAGTTCCATGGTAAATTTTTACATTTATTTAAAATTGAAGAGCTCTTCCTCTTGGGGTCTTGAAGCTCATAAAGGAGTTGCTCATAGGCATATTTGAGGAAACTGCTGTGGTAGCTTTTGTGAAAAAGAGGGTCATGACACTGTTGTGTGTGTTGTCAAAGTTGACAGTTGGATTCCTTGCATTTGTACTGAGGCCTAGTCAATCTCCTAAAACGAATGCTTTCTAAAGCTTCTCTTTAAATCTACCAAAATTGCTTTGCAGTATTTTTATGTTGTATAAACCACACCATTCTGTCATCTAATTTTTTTTTTCAGTCCTTTGTGCCTTTACTTCATTGATTTTTCAAGTCTGAAGACTTTGGATTAAGTGGTGCCAAAACCAAACCTGGGTGATGCAGATACTGGTATTGAAGCCACAAAATTACTGAACTGCAAAGCCTTTGCTGACCACCTCAATATAGGTTACAGTGGTGAAGCTATGGGGCTTATTCCACAAATATTCCAAATCTTACGCTGACCTTAAATAATTGCTTAGTCTTAGATAATTTGCAAGACTCCTTTCTTGAAATGTCCTATAGTGATTGCCTTCAAGCTCTTAAATTTTCTCAAGGCTTCATCTTCTCAGGCAAGCACTCTTGATTTCTAGTCACTGAGTCTTTTTCCCCACTTCTGTCTTGCTATTTGATTCTCAGCCTGGGCAGCTCCTCTCACTTCTCACTACTGCCACTGAACTGCCTTGTAAAGGGGAGTTCTACCTTCAGCTGCTCATAATGCTCTCATTCAGAGCCATTCCCTTCAGCGGAAGGTGGTAAAACATGGCTTTCCCTTAATAACTTGAAACAAAACATTTTTTTTAATGTTTAAGCAGTTAAAGGAGTTTTCTGCTAGTGTTAAAGATTGACAGAGGAGACCCTTAGTGTCTATCAGTTTTTTTGTTTTATTTTTTTTAAGAGAATAAACTGGCTTGTTACCTTCTGGAGTGGAATAGTCATTTTTACTGACTGTCCAAATGATGCCTTTGGCTCTCATCTTAGGTAAGGCCATCACCTGTGTGCCTTAAAGGCCACTCTTCTTCTGGCAGCAGCAGCAGTAGCTGAGAACACCCTAATCTGTCTTTTCCTTTCTTTTCCTCACTTCTAACTATAGGGAAAACGTCCACAGCGCACAAAAGCAGAGTTGCAACCTAGGTGGATGTCTGACCACCTGTCCATCAAATCCATCAAGCGAGAGGTGAGTGTGTGTGAGAGTAGAGAGGAATTTTCAGTGTTCAAAAGGATTGCTCCATTTTATTTCAGGTACTCCTTTTATTCCTACTTTTTAATTTAACTTTGCCTCAATTTTTAGATCCCAGACCTTTATGGAGCATTCCTATATGTAAGATGCATTTTTAGAAAGGGAAGCAATTTAAAAAGTATGAAATGAGGCTGTGCTCTTTTGGATCTTACAGTTAATCTCCTGGGATGATAAATCTAATAGAAATGAGAAGGATAAATACTATAATAGATATATATGTAGTACAAGTTCATGAGTGCAAAGATGGAAGATATTAGTGGTGGGCAAAGAAAGGGGAGCTGGGACAAGCAGAGCTATATTTCTCCCAGACCTTGCAGGATAGCTAAGATTTTGGTGGTGGAAGAGTAATATACAAGAGTAATATAAACAAAGCACAGAGGCAGGTGGATATATCATGTGGTCAAAGAACAGTTTATATTTGGATTTGTTTCTGGCATATAAGATATGTTGTAATATATAGTGGAAGAAAATGCTGAAACAATCAGATTTTGGAGTCCCCTGACTATCAAGCTTCTCTTCAATAGGCAGGCAGTAGTGGTAAGTGAGTTTATGTCATTAGATCTTTGTTTTAAGAAGGTACCTCTCTGGTTATACCATGATAAATGATTTTTAAGGAAAAACTGGAAAGTAAGAAATCATTTAGTGATAATATACTTGCAGCACGAAAGAGCAGTGGGGTCCCTGCTGTTGGAAATGTGGGTCTAAAATGGAGGAGATGATGGGGGTGGGGTGTGGCAGGAGAGGTCATTAGAGAATGGTTGGTGTCAGGGTCAGGTTGCAAGAGGATGGGTAGGGAATAAAAGTTCTCAGGGATTATCCTGTTGTGGTTTTGAGAAATATGACAAAGAAAACAAATCATGAAAAAGTAAAGAGGAAAAAGGATTGCGGAGAGCTTGTGGCAGTTTCCTTTTTTAAAATTGGAGATGTCGCATGGACATGAAAGATGTCCATGAATGAGAAAGGGAATGCATGTAGCTGAGTCTGATAAGATGACGTGCCTAAGAGCAGGGTCTTGCCAGGGAATAGAGTTGCTCCCATTTCTCAAGTTAAAGACACAAACTTTTGAGGGGGCAGGAAAATATTAGGAGTTCATGTTGCATGTTCCTCTGTCCTCTGAAGGTGGAGATAGGGCATCAGGTAGGAGTGGAGATCTAATGAAGACAAGATATTTGGGTCAGCAACTAATGTATTAAAAAAAGGGTTTTCCAGCACCCAGGAGCCAACTATGTGTGGGTATTTTCATTTTGTAACCTAGAGTAGTTAAATGACTTTAGTATCACACTTGGAGGAAGGGACAGAATTGATACTTATATTTACTGAGATTTAAAAATTAGCAAGATGATAATGGAATGAGGCCTAAGGATTGCAGGTGTTGCCATATTGGATGCTAGAAGTCAGGTAGGAGAAGGAACTGAAGGATGGAGCCAGGAAGAAGGGAGAGGCGGTGTTAGTGGAAGTGCGAACTCCAGATCCCTCTTCCCATTCTGTGAAGTTTCTAGGAGGCACCTCGTGCTCATGGCCCTCCGTCTAAGCCCTCCATTTCCTCACTCTTCCTTCGCTAGAGGTTTTTCTTCTGCTAATCTCACTCTGGAGTCCAGTCTCTGTGCTGGCCTGTGTACTTTTCAACCTTTTAATTACTTTTAGCCTTATGTTTCATTGAATATTACATAGTTTAGTGGCCTTAGAAAGTATGGCGCCTTCTTAGTGCCTCAGGGTGATGTTTTCATGACTCTTAAACTGAAGTGACAACATGGTCGTTTATTACACAGATCTTGTCGTTAACTAAGTATATTCTACCTTGAGCCTAAAGAAAACAAAAAGTTAGTTTATAAATTTTTATTTACTTAAATACATTTGCATTTACCCTTTATTTCTCTTTTTTAGCTCATAGATGTGTTCTTGCCAGTAGATAAATTGCCCAACACTTAATTACCTTTGGATTGACAATTCTGTAATGACTGCTTCAGTCTCCCCAGTCTCTTGTTTCCTATAGCAGTCATTGGATTTGGAATGGCCTTTGGTAATTGGTATCCAGCCATAGTTCTCAAATGGTTTTCTAGTTCCTTTTGTTTTGTTGTGTCCTCTCCACTTTTCTTCAATACCTTGACAGTTAACACCTCCTTTAAAGTTCTCTTTCCTATTTTCTGTTCATTGCCCTTGACTGAGTCCTGAATGCCCTAGTGTACATTGCAGATTGCATAGTAATCTGAATACAGACCAAAAGGTTCTTCATGGCTGTAAGAAAAGCTTAGCTGCAGACACTAAAATTTCTTCTTTCAGTTATTCTTAGCAGTGTTTCTCTTTTTTTCTGCTGTCTTTAGTTTTAGGTATAACTAACCATGGTATTGCAGAGATCCTGAATATCTGCTCCAATACCCAGTTATCCTAGAGAAAACTTAGATGTGGCATGAGTTTTGTGCATTTGTTTAAGCAGCAGAAAATCTTCAGGCGATAAAAGCCTTATAGGCAGGGTGTATGACCTATATTGGTCACCCAGGAGTCCAATCTTTTTGCCTCGAAAAGTCTTTTAATTGTGACTCCTGGGGAAAATATGAGCAAAGGGAGGTAGTCTTTCTGAACTTTGGGATTAGGGCTGCATTGGTTATTTTTGTCAGTAGACTCTGGACATTGCTGTTGCTAGTTGCTAGGGAGCTCTTTGTGGTAGTATAGTCTCGAGTGTGCTACTAAAGTTGGCAAGGGTGCCAGGGTGTCTGGTAACCTGCCCTGGGTGAGGAGGGAGCACGGAAGGGGAGTCCTGGGCACTGCTTCAGATTCTATTTATAATACTTTAGAGGGTTTCAAAGTAGTGTTTCTAATTAGCTTCTCATTAAAATCCCTCCTTGATTCTAGCATGTCTCTTTCTTAATCTATAAAAGATTTAGATACCACCTGGTTTACAACTGACCCCTTTTAAAGAAAAAAAAGAACATTGCAGTGCCAAACGGTGTAAGAATTTTTTTTTATCTTTTCAGTTTTTTGTTTTGTTTTTGTTCATTTGGTTGTACTTGTTCTTTAAACTATTAAAGTTTAAAACACTAGCAAAAGTGTCTTCAGGCAGTGAATCCTGTCTTTTAGTGGTATGTTCATTAACACTGCTGGAAATCATAACAGTAACTTTTAAAACACTCTTGATGCACTTGGACGTTTTTTTTAGATGTATATGATGCAATTTATATAAAATAATAATTGTTGAGAATTCACATCAGATAAGAACTGCTGAAATTATAACACATGATGAAAGAGAACCACGTACCAATTTACATTCCCACCAACAGTGCATGAAGCTTTCCTTTTGTCTACATCCTGGCCAACACTTGTTACTTCTTGTCTTTTTAATGATAGCCAGTCTAACAGGTGTGAAGCAATATCATCTCACTGTGGTTTTGATTTGCATTTCCCTGATGATAAGAAATGAGGAGCACCATTTCATGTACCTGTTGACCATCTGTATATCTTCTTTGGAAAAATGTCTGTTCTGGTCCTCTGCCTATTTTTTAAATCAGATTGGTTTTTTGCTATTGATAAGTTTTTTAAGATGCCATAAATTTAAGTTAGTTATTGTATCTTATGTGCTTAGCATATTTAAATATTAATGTATTGGGGATAAAAAGCAACTAAATAGATAGATATTGCATGACTCCATTTATGTGAAATATCCAGAGCAAGTAAATCCACACAGAGAGCAGATGCGTGGTTGCCAGGAGCTAGAGGAGTGGGGAGTAAGGACTGGCTCGTTAATGGATTCGTTGTTTTCTTCTGGGGTGCTAAAAATGTTTTGCAACCTAGTGTAGGTGGTGCTTACACAACACTGTGAATGTACTAAATGCCACTGAGTTACACGCTTCAAAATTGTTAATTTTATGTGAATTTCACTTGGAGTTTTAACAAAAAACTATATGAGAGTAAGTTTTACATATTTTTAAATGATGTAGGGCCTCTGATTTAACAGCAATTTTTTCCATCTGTAATTATCCTAAACTTTAAGATTCCTGCTTCATTGTTACCAAAATAAACTATTCATAATCAGTTTTTAGTACCTCATCTTAAAAATTGAAAAGTTCTAACCTTTGGGTACTTTAACATATTTTAGACTTTTAACAGGGAACATATAGCAGAGGGAGTAAAAAGTTAATAAAAACTAGATCATTTTAGAATATGTCCTAATAGTTCATTTCTCCAGTTTACTTGGGAAGGAGTTGTTCTAAGTCCAAAAGAATTTATGTGCTCTTATAGAAAACTTGAGGGAATATATTAGAATACTGTGGAAGACCTAGTAATCTCACAATTCACAAATCATCACTCCTACATTTTTACCTATTTGCTTCAGGCCCTTTCTCTATGCATTTATTACAAAACTGGCATCTTATTGAATATTATTTTGTCGTCTGTGTTTTTCATTTAACATTGTGAGCATTTTCATATTTCGTTAAAAATTCCTCAGAATTACAACTTCTGTTGGGGCACCTTGGTGGCTCGGTTGGTTTCTGCTCAGGTTGTGATCTCATGTTCTTGAAATCAAGCCCTGTGTCAGGCTCAGGGCTCAGCTGGGAGTCTGCTTGAGATTCTGTCTCCTCCTCCATCTGCCCCTCCTCCTGTGCACCCTCACACTCTCTCCCCCTTCCTCCCTATTTCTAAAATAAATCTTAAAATAAGTTCTCTTGATTTTATAGTGATGACTACATAATTTTACCTATTATTAAACATTTAGTATAAGTTTTCACCATTTTATTTTTTTTATTTTATTTTTTAAAAAAGATTTTATTTATTTGAAAGCG